AAGTAGTAAAGTAACTAAGAGAAATATTGTCTCTTACAGATACAATAAATAGCATATCGCAAGCATAAGAAAATAAAATCATTTAAAGATAAAAATAATAATAATGCAACATGAGAAAATTAGACTTCTTTTAATTATTAGAAGATTTTTTACTATTATTAGAAAATTTTTGTATGTATAATGTGTACGAGATATTTTTAACAATATTCATGTATCAAATTAGTGTCATGTCAGTTAGGTTTTAAGTTCGCTAAACCGACAGCAAACACGCACTTTTCACGACAATAAAACTAGGAATTACTGTAGAACATATGTTGTGCGAGGATGAAAAATTTGAAACATATGTATTCTACAATATTCCGGACATGTCACCGTTTAACTTTCACCATTAGCCATCGTTCTCTACTTCCAGTGGCATCTCGATCGCGCTATTTATTGCAAACCGAATGAATGGTGATGATTAAACGGCGACATGTTAACGTTTTATATGTGAGAATAAATACATGTTCGATAAAATAATAATCAATTTTCCAAACAATATCCAAATTTGCTTTTTATGCTATGCATTTTATTGTTAATATTATTAACATGATTATTATTTTGACAATGTTGCAAATATTTGTCATCAATATGTACATCAATATATACAGAATAGAATAAGTAATTTCCTCTTCGTAATAATTACAATTTTCGGAAGACTTGTCACGGCTGAGAGTCACTGGTTCAAAGCGTCAGATACCGGTGCATTCACCTTATGAAAGTCATTAATCTTGAGGTACGCAGAGCCGGCCAATTAACAGGGCGGAATCAGGGAATGGCTAAAGTAGATACTGATTCCGATCGATTTCGGGCTTAAGTCGAGAGCTGCCGCATCGCTGCAGCGAGTCAAGTTATCGATCCGTTGTCCGTTCGTTCCCGCGAATTCGGCCTGCCGGCCAGTCAGTCGACGCGACGGTCCATCGATCCCGCAAATCCAGCTACCAGATCGACTTGTACGTTTGCACGAACTAAGCTCACGAGCTACGATCATCTTCCTGTCCACAAATCTCCTAAGACCCATATAGCACGTCCACCACCACCAGGGCCTTTCGCCAGCTGCGTGCCAACGCACCTGATGCGCCAGTGCATCGCAAATGTGCATTGCATTGCACAATATTGCAATACGATACCGATTGCACATGATATAATAGTGGATAAATAGGATAAAATTACACAAAAACTGTTTACTTGAGAAGTCCTCTCGTATATATATTTTTATATTCTTAAATATCTCTTTTGAATATATGTAATAATAATATTTAAATATATGTAATATATATACAGAGTGAGAGCAAAAAGTACAAGGAAATTTTTTATAAAAAAAGTCTTATTTGTAAAAAATAAATATTAATTATATAATATAAACAAACGAGCTTCGTATGTATTTCTGATTCTAGAAGCTAAATTTCTCGATTGTACGAATACTTTTTGAGCATCCAAACAATAAAATTTTTAATTTTCGCTTATTTTTCAGATGATGCATTTTCTATAATTAACACACATCTTTTTGATAATTTTAAGAAACATACAATCATACAAATTTTATTCTTTATGAATAAATTGTTAATTATCTAGCAAGAAATGAACATTAATTAAGCATTGAATCGACATCGAATTGATGTTGAAATCATCGTATCGATATCGATTCGACATGATGTTTGATGATTCATTTCTCTAAATAATATTTATTTCTTAAAAATAAAGCTTTTTTAAAAAATATTTTCTCTGTTCGAATATTTTTTGCACTCATTGTATGTACATTTTTGACACATTTACTTCAAATTAAAAGAAAACATGATTCTCTTTATATAGGATTAAGCGAAATAAATAATATAATAGATAACTCAGCTATGAATACTATATACTATCATTCGATGCTTCATTTTTTCTTTTTGTTTCTTCGTAGCACTCACATAAAATTCATTCGCAAAATTTAAATTAATTATAATCAGCAATAATCGGCAATAATTATCAGCATAAGATTATCACACAATATTTTATACACTACTCTCGACGCGTATAGAGAAAGAATAGTACGAAGAAAAGAGTACGGTTATACAAAGTTACAATTCATACGACATCCGAGACGACAACAAAATTATGAAATTATGGGATTATTATTAATTAGGTGTAATATAATTAATTAAATACTGCTTGACTAGCAGGAAATTAATTTCGCATTATTCATTTTAACAACTGAAGTATCCAAAATTAACATTGGATTGGACATTATATCATAATGAATTGTAAGGAAGTCTGCTACTTTGCTTCGTTTGCTATTTTAAATGAATGAATAGGATGAAATATCTATCTCAATAGCCGTCACGTCAATACGTTTATGAATCGCGGTAGCTAATTAACTCGTTAATTAACGAATAATTATACAAAGTAATCGTTGTAATAATCACGATCGCATCTCGAGAGATATTGCGACACATGGAACGATTTGCGCTGTTACATACCGATCCGGATAACACCACACGAATGATAACGCGCGCGATCTTGCGTAAAACAATAACACCGATCGTTGAACGCCGCGCGTCAGAAAATTCTCCGAATTCAACGTACGAATCATTTAACGGACACCACAAAGTACGTCAAATATTTCATTTCGTACATCTCAAATAAATTATTAACGATTATAACTGCTTTTCTGCGTGCGTTATTTGATTCATTTTAGCAATTTACGTGTGTTACATTAATGCTTTCAATCCAAATAAACAAATTACATTTTAATCTGCAAAAATTGCGAAGCATAACGCGGAGATGTATTCGTATAAATATTAAAGAAATAATATCTTCTAAACAAAACGATAATTTACAATTCTCGTCGCAATGATTTCTATGATCTAAATTAATAAATCGCATGAGTATGCATTCCTGCTGTCTCAGTATTACCATAAAACAATTAATCATTAAACAATTAATTACACGTATTAACAATTATTAATTCTTTAGAGGAAATCGTGTTTTCTCTCGGTTCTCAGCCGATTGCGTTTCGAGAGATAATGTGACACACGCATTACTGCCTGCCAATTCGGATCTCGACGTGCGAATGACAACACGGATGGTCTTGCTTGACAAACATCAAAGCCATTTACTAGCCATTATTCTTGCTTTGAAATATTTAACGCTTTAATCTCAAATATATTCTGTTTCTTGCAAATTCAAAATTAATTTTGAATAGATCATCATAAATAAAATCTGACATTTGAAGAATAAAGCCTTCGTTATAAAAAATATTTGTAGGTATAAAATGATTTATCATTATTTTTTTCCGAATTTCTACATGAAAGAAGTAAAAATTGTATGATTTCGATTAATCAAGAATTATGATTTTAGTCGATCAAGAAAGATTAAGTCGTCATAAAAAAATGTGACGATTCATTTTCGTGATTTACTATTAAAACAATGTTTTCTCTTCCAAGATATAAAATTTTGAAATAAATATAATAGTAATAATAGATTATACGTACATTTCAACGCGTAAATTATATATGATAACATTGATCAATTTTTATCATTTACAGCTCGACGACATAGTAATTTTGGCGTTTTTATCTTAAATTTTTCTATTCCAATTAATAGAGAGAATATGAAAGTAATAACTGAGGACATTCTATATAGTAACTACAAATAAAATAACGTTAATTTAATCAAAATAATTCAGTTGAAATAACCTCATAAATTTTAATGATTGTGATGAATTGAACTAAATTGCAATCAATATAATTAAATTAAAATTACTCTTACCAAAATTGCTTCGATCAAATTACCTGTTATTATTATTTTTTCATTACGCGATTCACCGAAAATTACCGATGCAACTAGACGCTATTTAACGAAAATTAATTATGCATTTCGGATCTGATTATCGACGCGAGCAGGTCGTTCTTCACGTTAATTATGCTTTCATTCGTCTGTCCTCGCTCGGGAATATTTGACCATGATATAAGTCGAAAATAAGTTTTCATTTCGAATAAATTCAGTCATGCTGATTTCTCTTCATTTGCGTTTCAATAAAATAAAACAGTCTCGCGCAATTTATGCTTAACTTAACGTTTTAATTTGACACATGTATTTTCGCATGTGATGTGAGAGATGCGCAATATAATTACACAACTAGCTGTACTCTCTCGCATATAAATATAAAGCAGTCATTCTCATTAACCTTTTCGGTTCTTATGCCAATTTTCTTGAGAAATTTGATTTTGTCACTGATGTGTATATATATATATTTTTTTTTTTTCTACAAAAATCATACTGTGGCTAAAACAACACTGAGAGAAATGATTTTGTTATAGGAACAAATCAAGCAAATGTAATATTTGTTAAAAAACTGATCGATTTGTTACAATTGCAAATTAATTCGTCAATGTAACAAATAATCCATAGTATTGTTAGCAAATAAGAGACTCATATATATATATATATAT